TTAATGTTCCTTTTCTTAAGAAAGTTTTCTATTTTCAGATTTTAGGGATACATTCCTAAAAGTGTATGAGAAAGTGAAGATGCAGTGAGAAAACATAGAACAAAATAATAGCAAATTTACATCATGGCTAATTAGGCTTTTTTAAAGTATCACAGAAGTTTAACAGAAAAAAAAGATTCTAACAAACTTAACTGTTTAGTGTGGGATACTGAAAGCTCTGAGCTAATGTTTATGTGAAATGATAAATCTATTTATTGCAGCTGCAAAAGCGCTCATAGTGCTGCTCAATCCAAAGTGACTTCTGAATTCTATTACAAGCTTATGATTTATAATCATATTTAGAATAATTTATAATATTTGATTTTTCATTCTATGAAAAACCCATGATACATAAACTTAATCCGCTATTTAGATAATCCACCAGCAATCAGGAATTGCAGACTTCTCCTCAAGGAGGTATAGACCTGAGCTGATATGTACAACAGTGTATGAAGTCTCATGATAGCTGTCTCATGAGGCACATACATAAGGGGCCTCTTCCCACATAAGGGAAAAAGAGGATGTTTCTTGTAACTGAACTTTAAGGGTTAATTGACTAATATGTGTCACATTAACAGCAAAAATCACCACAGAGGACTGACAGACAAATGAAACATTTCAGTCAGATGTAGTGCCTGAAGCAAACACTGAACTTTCTGCTTCAGATAACCCTAGCATCTGTGTATTTACCACTGAGAAAATGAGTGTATCAGTCTTGGGGAAAAAAAAAAAAAAATCTGATAAATTTTCATGTCATCACTATGTAAGGCTTGAGTTCAATATTTTTCTCAGCCAAAGAAACAGATTCCAGACCAGAAATGGTTGAGAATACCACATGTCATTAAATTTTCTCTGATGAAGAAAAAAACCCCAAATCAAAGGCAAATAAAGAAGGAATAACTTAGTGTCTGTAGGGTTCTGAATGCACAACTTGGAAATCTTTGAAATTCTTTATTTCAATATCTTGTCTACGAATCAAAAGAAAATATATTTCAGAAAAAGAAGTGTGTCATGGATTTGTGGCTCCTTCTGTTCTCAGAAATCTAAGAAAAACCTTCTGCTTCAAACTCTCTACTCAGCTGGAAACCCACAGTATTTGACAAAGTTTGGATAGAGCTCCACAACCCATCCCCTCATTGTATTTTCTCACCATGTTTAACTTGGTGAGACTTTAGTTTTTTCTTTTCAATACTTCTGGCCAGCATTAGTAGACTTGACCAGACAGCTTCCATACATAGAAAATACTGTTTAATGTAAAAGGCAGAACTACAGTAAAGTGAAAGAAAGAACATTTTAAAAGGAACAAAGAGTCCGTGTGTGCTTAATTTTCTCAGTGCCTCAATTCTGAATTCTTAGGAGTCTCCTCTTATGCTCCTAAAAAGGTGCCTCAGACAGCTTGTTTTGCTAAAAGGGAAGCTTGGACAACTGCCTTTTGCAGTTTCCAGAGAGTGGATTTTAAACATTGTTTATGGCCTTTATTATGGATTGATTGGTTTACATCAGCAAAACGAATCGTATAACTTGGGTAGGAGTCTGAAAAGGATGTCTTCACACCTAATCTGGACTATGAGATATTTCAGTTGTATCTGTTTTATTACTTTTCTGTCATGCTTCTCAGATTGCATGTAATTAATGCAATCTTGTGGAAATTAACAGCACCTTATGGACAGTTAGGTGGGCAGTTCCATAAGGACCCACTTTCCATTTCAGAGGCTTAAACTCAGAGACAGTCGAGGACTAATGCCCATGTACCCGGAGCAGCATTTCCAAAAGTTTCAAGAGACAAGATAAATGGCACAGTGTCTCCAACATATGCAACACACAAAATAATGAGAGTGAGGTGTCTGAATACATTATACACATCCATAAATTAAGGAAATCCTGTGACTCATTGATGATTAAACATTAAAACTCCTGTTGTGGTTTTAATCCCAGCTGTCAACTAAGCATCACACAGCCACTTGCTCACTCCTCCACTGGGAGTGCGGAGAGAATCAGAAGGGTAAAAGTGAGGAAAGATGGTGTAATAGGCAAAGCAAAAGCCATATGCACAAGATCACAAGGAATTCATTCACCACTGCCCATGGGCAGGCAGTTGTTCATCCACCCCCAGGAAAGCCGCACTCCATCACACATGGAGTGACTTGGATAACAGTGACTTGGGAAGACAAACTCCATCACTCCAATTTTGCTCCCCATTCCTTTTTCTTCCCCCTATTTTATATGCCCAGCATGACACCCACATGGTATAGGATTGTCCCTTTGGGCAGCTGGGCTCAGCTGGTCCCCAACCCACTCCAAGACTGCTTAGATGGAAAGCCTAGCTCTTAAAAAGGTAAATGCTAGGCTCTTACCTCAGGTGCTCTGAATTACCATGGGTTCCATTCACTGTGTTAGACGCACAGTATTAATCCACACAAAGCTATTGTATGCCTAGTGGAGTTGTGAATTACTATTTTCTGATCGATGGATAGATTGCATGGGAATTTCCCTAATGAGGCACTTTAAATAATGAGAATCTCTGCATCTAGCATTGAACAAAGCCACACAAAACTGTGCTTCCCATAAATCTCAGCAGAGTTTGGATAGAGAAAAAAAAATTATGGAAATCACCGAGCAAGAAAGACTTACTTTCATTGGTTCACTAAATAATGAAAACCAAGGACTTGTCTAATTCATAGATAGTGCAAAGATATGTATTTACAAACTCCAACTCAGTGCAAAACTAAACAGAAAAATCTGGTAGATTAAAAGAATCTGAGTTGATTCCTCCCATATTTTAGGCATTCAAATTGTATAGCCATATAGACATTCTTCAAATTGTATAGACATTACATTTCATTAGACAAGTGAGTAGTTCAGTTTTATACATCTGAGTCCATATTCCATTTAAATACAAAGCAATATGTTTATTAAAAGATAAATTTGTCAAAAAGCTTCATTTTTATTAATTTATTTAACATAGTATCTCTCTGTGAATATATCCATTTATCTTAATGTCAGGGGATTTATTTTCTCAAACAAAGTAATACAAAACTCAGGATGTATAATAAATATATAAAACTGACGTTTTAATGTTCATAAAACCTCATACACATATACTGGATATCTGCTAAAACTCCTTAAAACATAAGAACCTATTTAAAAATATTTCCTTTAAAGCAATTGCCTACATTTAATATTTAAGCCTTAGGGGAAAATTAAAGCGACAACACTTTTACTGCATAACATTCTCATAAAACATGGATGAGTGCTTCACTTCTGATAAAACAACATGCATCAGGAATTTATTGTATTAAGGTACTAGCAGATCAGGGCACAAAGAAAATCATGTTCAGAAAGATGAGAAAGATGATTTGTTGATTAAAAAATAAAAATAAAATCCCAAGCAAATCAACAACCGATTTTAAAATGAGTATTAGTGTTGCCCCACATAACCTTCAGATGTTATTGAAGGTAATAATGTTTCTCTAGCCCTATTTTTTACCTCTATGGATTTCCAAATCAGATAGAGAAAGTACTCCCAAGCAAGCAAAAAGGGAGGAATCAGATCAAAGACAATAAAGCATGACAGATAAAGGCAGAGTTAGCTCATAATAACAAAACAGAGGAAAACAATACACTTTTCATCAGGTCATATGGTCCATGCACTGCAAGGGCAGATGCTGCTCAGATACTAGTATGGAATTAAAATACTGTAGGAGGCTTGAAATGGAATTAAAATACTGTAGGAGGCTTGAAATGCTAATTCTTGCTAAAATTGCATATTTGAATAAGCCACTCAGCTTAATCATCGAAATCAAGTTGAAACATAGATTAGCTTTGCTAATTTTTACTTAAAAATATCGAATTAAAAAAAAAACAACTAATGATGTCTTCAAGATCTTTAATTGTGAATTCACCACAGAAAAGTAAGAGAGCACCACAGTGGTCAAGTGGTATCAGTCTAGATATACAAATTACTTGTAAAGTGGTAACTCCCACCGATAAGAACCTGCAGAGGAATTTTGGACATTACCTTCTTAGGCCCTAGGGTCCATTTGATCTATGTTTTTGTTTCTGATCACAAACTGTGCTTTTGTGAATATTTGTTAATGGTATTAAATAAGTATACATTAAAATGCGTATAAAGTTTTTTAACAAGACACTGTGGCTAACCCCAGAGTTTAGAGACACCTGTAATTTCATGGATTGCTTCAGAAAGTTCAGGTTTCTCATAAAGGAGTATAACAAACCATAATAAACCCAAACCAAACCATAAAGAACAGTAGTCTAGAACCATAAAATACAAGATCAAACACCAGCAAGGGGAGAGTTAAATGCAGAATTATTTTTGTGCAGAAATAAAGAAAAGGCAGTAAACCTAATGGTAAGATATGAAATGCATTAAAAAGATATGAAAAAGAGTCAAAACACAGCTCCATGGGCATTTAAACCTGACCTGAGAATGGAAATGGCAAACTGCAGGCAGAAAAAAGACTGAACCCTTTTATGGATTCACAATGTTCTCTGTATTCCTGCTTGCAATTATACTCTAGTGGCAATCAGTCATCAGGAACATCCAAAAAGAGTAATACCCACTGTAATGGAAGTTATTCCATTCATACTGTGTGATGAACCTTTTCCATGATTTAGAATTAATTTCTTCTACATCAAAAGTGCTCAAATTATACCACACTAGTGTTAAAGCACAGTGAGACTCATAAACCTTGAGAATGACATTTCAATACAGTTAAATAAAAGTCAGAGGAAGTTTAAGCTCATTTTAAATATAGGACATAGTATCATTTATTTCAAACACTGGGCTGAATATATTGAAAAGTAATGTTCAGCAAACAGAAGTCTATGGAGAGGCCATTATTCTGTCTTGCTTTATAATGAGAGGCTAATCTAACTTATTAGACTGCTTTTCAAAAAACACTGCTCATTTATTCTTCTTTTTTTATCTCCTTAGCTCTTACCTTCCAGACTCAAATGTAAACCACGTTGAGTCACGTCCGTATCTCCTCAGAGAGCTCAGAGGCCACATGACCAGCTTGACCTTGGCATTGTGGATGTCCCAGAGATATATGTTTTCATGTGTTATCTGCATTGTACATTCCCCATAGATATCTAAATTTGGTGTAGGCATAAGATATACATTGAATCGTTCTGGAAAAAAAAAAAACATAAGGTAAAACATCACAAGTTAAAGCAAGATTTTATATTGGGGAAAAAAATGAAATAAAATCTTTAGCTTTGATGGTTCAGAAATCAAGGACAAATTTCTGGCTTTTAACCGAGGTGAGGACCCACTGATGTTGAAAAAGTCTTGTTAGGGCAAATGAGAGGAGTAAGAGGAGAATCATCTTCATTTCATTTTCATTATAAATGATGCAGTAGACTGAGACAATTTTCCCAGATGATCTGCATAATCCCCTTGGACATATGTTCCCAGCAACTTAACTGAAGTCCTCTTTCATCTTCACATTAACATCCATGACCTCTTACAAATCAAAATTCACCATGACATGAACTCTGACAGAGACTCTTCTCTCAAAGAACAGAACTATAGGTATCTTGGCAAAATATATATGTACAACCATTGCCTCTTGGAAAAGCTATCCTTGAAACTGCAAACCAAGGTTTATTTACTGAAGCTTGTTAATAATTACATTCCTTGCATTGAGTTTCTATTTATTTGCCAAAGACATTATAATTTTTCAAATTAACAACAATTTTAATCATCTGTTGCTTTCTTGAAAAATCTGATTCAACACAATATATTACTATGATCATGACATCAATCACTATCAACTGCACTTCCCTTGCAAAGTGCACTTATTGTAGTAGGAGGTCAAGGGCATTAATAATTTTCTGAAGCGCCTGAATTGCATGTAATTAAATAAGCAATGCAAAAAAAATCCTTAAGAAAGGAAAAAAAAAAGAAAAAAACCAATATGGTATAAAACACAATTACCTCATATGGCAGGAAATAAACCGCATTATTAGCAAGCGGATTTTAAATAAAAATGCAATTTTCTTTTTCTGTGAGTTGCTTTTACAAAAAGTGAAGAAGGCTGTTAAATTTCCAGTGCTGCAGTTGGAAGTGCTGGCCTATATTTTAACTCTAAATGCACTGCAATATTGGGGCTTAATAGCATAATATGGGAGAGTGCAGTTGATTCACAACTTTTATCTCACAGTTTCCTTTCATCTTTGAAAAGGGTAGAAATGCAAAATGTCAATGTTACTGCTTAAAGGTTGTTGACAAAAAAGTAAGAGAAATTTAAAGTATGAGCATGAGCAATGCTCATTCAATAAACAACACTGAGAAAATGCTCTTTAAAGGGGCAACTCATAGGAAAATTGTCTCCAATTGCTTGAAAAAGAAATTAGAGTTTGGTGTGGGACACTTTTCATCCACCATTTGAACTGAGTTTCCTTACAGTGGCCTCATAAAAATTAGGAAGGAATTGAAATTAAAGTGAGAGAAATTTATTGCAATAGTCAAAATTAGATGCAGCTTCCCCTTGTGTTAGACATTCCATATCGCAGACTTTATGTCTCCATTTTCTAGACATTTGATAGATATAGCTGTCTGACAAAAGAATTAAAATATTGCAAGTAAGTGAATTAATACAAAATATATTAGAAGTGTATGAGTGTGCATGTGTGTGAATAAAATAGCAAAAGTTTGGCCATGGAAGTAGTGAAAGCAGGGAAATGCTGGGTGAGCAGTAAAAATTGCTGCCCTGCATAGCTATAAGTAAACTTGTCATCCCCAATGTTGTTCTGTTTCAGTCAATTTAATTTTGCCCTATTAATGACTCCCCAGTTGATCCATTCAGTCACAACCTCTACTCCCAGGCCCTAGTTCTCATTAGTCACACAAATGGGTGTGTTAGCCCTAAAAGTTTCATTTTATGACTAAGGTCCCAAATGTGAAAGTCCAAACATTGTGTAAAAGTCTTCTGACACACAGAACAAATAGATTAGCAGAAGCTGCTGAGATCACTGAGAAGAATTTCTCCCAGCCCTCAGAGGAGTTCATGGGGCAGAGGTCTAATGTAATGCCTACTAAAGTAAACAGAAAAACCCACACATGGGAACATGGGCCAATGACCACATCGGGAAGGGAATGGTAAAGAAAACATAACTTATACTTTGCACTGGAATTATATCTATCTATCTATACATCCTTTCAATATCCATATTATTGCTACTTCCCTGCTGTATTTGAAAGAAAGATGTAGGTAACTGACGTAAGCTGTTTCCCTCTTACATTATGTGAAATAACACAATGTATCTATGGGGGAATGGGGCTACTACATGAAAACGAAAATCTTTCCCTTTCCCTATCTTCACTGAAAGAATGTCTCTGACAGCAGATAAAATTAAAAGGTACAATTATTATCTGAAGTAAAAATTAAACTGTTGTGTTGAAGGCACAGAACATTTCAACTTGATTTAGTTGTTACCAGGATACTCATGAAATGCTCAATTTCTTTGAAGTGTTTCAGGATATTATTGCGTGAAGGGTAGTCGGGACATATGGTATCCTCAAACTGTCAGGAGATATTTGCTGACTTTGCATGGGAGGTCAGTGTCTAAGGTGAGATGTCATGGATTAAAGGAAGTATGTCTGATTAAAGTGAACATCAGCTGCAGGGCAAAATGTAGCACCCTTGGAATGTAATCAAATTGGCAAGAAAACCAAGGGTACAAATATATGTGCTGGAGACGACTGAGGATGGATATATTTGCTTTTGGAACAAAAACTATACTTTTGAGTATTGGGTAAATGAGGACATGGAAAAGTGTAGATACTATTAAATGATTTAATTAATTAACAAGCAGGGTCCAATTTTTCAATTTCAGAAAATATTTGAACAGGTATCTATTAGCTAATGGTAATGCAGTCAATTCAATTTTTAGTGGCACGTTTTGCCCTTAAACTTATCCAGGCAAGTACAAATATTCATAGGCCAGATTTGGGAATCCTGGCTGAATTCTGACACCAGACCTTCTGAATGACATTCCATAGCTCATTTAGCTTCTCTGTGGTTCAGACACCATCTGCATGTGAGTGGGATGAGATAATAAAGAGTTCAGTGGGTAGTAAAGACTAAGCAAATAGAAGTTAATGAGGGACCCAGAAATGAGTGAGCTGGAAGAAACCAAGCAAGTAGATGCAATGTTGTTGGACAAGGTAAGACTGAGACTGACCAGGTGTAATTTCTCAGCATTCAGCACCCCTATCCTTCTACCTCCTCTAAAACTGGTGAGAGTAAAGATAAGGGACTGGGGGAACCAGGATGAAAAAAAAATGCTGATAGATTGCAACACTTATTATTCCACTCAATGTAACTGCTCTTTCCCATCTCCTTGAATAAGCAGAGCAATGCTTCATCATACACTTTGTGCATGAAAAGGTGTTTAGTATTTGGGCTTTGGCAAGAATATGACATTTAACAATGTTTTCCAGGGCATAGGAGCATAAGAGTCTTTATTAAAATGAGCATATTGACTGAGATGGAGACTTGGCAGGAACTCCAAAATGCTCTCTGCCTTCCTGCTCTACTGGGGAAGCAAAATCACTGAAACCCAGTGATCCTGGTTCTGCCATCACTGGATTCCTCTGCCTAAATCATTCCAGTTGGAAAACCGACCAGATTACATCGCAATCTTGCAATCCAGATGCTTGGTTTTGTTTCAGTTTTAATGATGGGTAAAAAAATTACTTATGGAAGGAGACAGTCTGGTTCATGGGGCCTATATAAATTAGAAGAGGTTTTAAAGGAAATACTCAGTTTATATATGAAATACTCAATTTATATATGAAATAAACTCCTCCACCTATGAGACTTCCACCTGTGGCTAATTTTCAGGTGGAAACAGAACTTTAAGTCTTGAAGGCACAATATTTTGTGCTCCTTCATATGTCAGATTTATTAGAATGTTTCTCTTCTGCTGTACACAGTGAGGAACCAAGACTTCAGAATTAATTTTTCTCCTTTGCTTATAAATATTCTGCTTTGTTTCCATTAAAAATGTATGAAAGTGTTTATAAGCATCTCAATAAAAATATAAAGTCTACAATAGATAAATATTTTGAATTGTTTCAGTGGTAAGTAGTAAGGTAGAATCTGAAGTCTTACTGGATTAACCAGCCATTTAAACTGTAAACACATTACTTTCCTGAATAAAGCTGTCTGTGTTTCATTTATTTAAAAAATGAACAAACAAACGCAATGTATAAAAATGGATTAAGGATAACAGAAGATGAATAAAAACCATTCAAAGTGCTTTTATATATTAAATTACAGAGATTCTACAGACCCTAGAAAATGCCCTAAAACAAGTCAGTTCTGTGAATGTAATTATGAAGTCTCTATGCTTTGGCTGCATGTTGTAATCTCAATACGTAGCACAAAGAAATAACTCATAATCCTCTTCTGAGGATTCAAGGATGTTGTTCACTACGAAAAGCTACATTTTTGCTAACAGGAATTAAGGAGTTTCTTGCAATTAAAATACAGGAAGCAAGACTGCTACTCCTGTGGAATTAAATAAAAAAAGGAAGGCAACGCCAATGTTATGAAAGAAGAAAAACCTTACAAAGGAAGTAATTTTATGGGATATTAATTTAAATATTAGGTAGGCAGGAAAAGCAAAACAAACAATTATCTTTTAAACTTTTTCCACTTTTAAAATCAAAATTAGCTTTATAATGCAGTAAAATTAAAAAAAAAAACCAAAAAAAACCCCAAAAAAACAAAACACATAATAGAAAAGTATCAAATTGATATCAAAGACATGATAACTAACAATAAACTTGCTATAGCAGCAAAAGATGGATCTGGCTCTGTCTTCAGTTTAAAAGTTTGCATTTTATCATTTGCCTATTTTCTTCAGGATTTTAATCAGGTTTACAAGTACAGTTTAATAGAATATGATTTAGCACAAGTATTCTGCTATGTCAGTACTATTATTTAGTATTCAAAATGGATAGGAATAAAGTCTTCACAAAACAGAAGCACCTGCTCCTAAAGAGTGAATTTATCAATAGTGTACACATAATGCTTTTTTTAAACCAATATTGTCTTGAATATTCTGGTTTCTTCTTCACAGTAAATATAGTCTGTCATTGTATACTGTCCATTTGGATACCTTCTTTCAAATTGCTTCCTTTTATAGAGAATGAAAACAATGACACATTGGAAACAGTGAGCATGGACAAATTCTAGATATGATGTCACCTGGGAAGATAACAATTTAAAAAAACCCAAACATTTGTTTTTGTCGTTACATTTCGGGGTATATTGGAAATGCTTCCAAATTCATTGAGAGCTGGAAAGGAAGCTTCCAATTCCCCCCAAAAAAAGTCAGTACTCTACATTCACAATTTCTTTGCTTAACAGCAGCTTGTGAAACCTAAGGATTATAAAATGTGTGTGTAAGTATCACAGGATATTGCTTAGAAGACAACAGTGTTATAAGATCCAACTTAGTCCAGATTTTCTTTCCTGGAGTTATAACTGTGTGCTATTATTTATCTTATCATTGCATATACAGTTTCACTGCCATTATACTAAAATATCTGAATAGGATCAGGAGGTGAGGCCTTTACTGATTTTGCTATCATACTGTATTTTAATTCTTTAGCAAATAATCAGAATGGACATCCATAAACACTAAGAAGCTGTGTTTGGTGTGACAAGAAATTAAAACAGAAACAAGGTTTCTGCTGTAGGACTGAGAAACACAGACTAGTCTCTTAGATTTGCAGGAGAGATGGTTGGAGAACAACAGAAACTTCATTTTACATCTCACTTTTATTGGAAGCTGTGTATCATTCCAAACTAAGCAGCCATTAGTTGTGAGCCTTAAATTTAAAAAGAAAACCACCTAAGGGTAATTTTCTGCATCACAGTTTACACAGCAAGACTTATAACAATACTTCTTGAAAGCAATAATGAAGGTAAAATCCAGCAAGAAGCTTTTTGTTACTGATGTGCTTTGCACAAGAATTGCTTAGATGTCTTGTCTCTCCTTCCTACAAGACACAGTAGCTAGAGCTTTCTGTTTTAAGCAGTGCCACTCTACAGTTTGCCTCTTTGTTGTCACCACTGGAGAACTGCTTGGTGCTGGAGGGTCAAGTAACAGTGCAACTAAAGTAAAACAGATCTCACTAGCACTTACTGAACAACTCAGAACTACAAAAAATATGGAGTTTTCAACCATATTGTTGCATTCCTGTCACAGAGAATCAGGTGTCTTCTCTTATTAAATCTAAAGCTCATCTCAGGAGAACCACAAGAGTGAGAGCAGGACGGTAAACAGGCTCAGATGTAATAAAAAGAGGTATTAAACAAATGATGGAAAACATATATTTTCCTTGCCAAGTATTTTCTGAAATGTAATTCCCTGAGTATAAAAAATATAAGCAGGATGTAGCAATTTTAATGGTCCCAGGGCATATATAAGAACAATTAAGAAAATTATTTCTAATGTTGCATACTGAGGCCTCAGTGGTCACATACAAAAACTAAACCGCAGACTTACAGAACAGATAGTTGGTTTTGTTTTTTTTTTCAAAGAGACAGATGCAGTGAATACCCTTACACCATGCAAATGTCCTTTAAGGACAAGAATGGGCAAGTAGATGAACAGATGAACACTGTATATTAAAAATATTATTGCTTGGAAAATGTAAAGCAGCTCATGAAAATCCCACCTTATTAGGCTAGTTCTTTTATGACCCAGGAAGTATCTTTATTAAATTTTAAACATTTCAGAAACTCTTTATGGCAAAGTAACCCTTAAAAAAACCTCAGTGGAATGAGATACAATTAATGGTTAATACATCTGTTCTTTTGCGATTAATGGTATTAACACTTGTCATATCACAGAGATATCAACAGTATAACACCATTATTCAATTTCTCTTAGCTTTTAAAAGTGTAAAAAAAAAATTATCTAAAACTGAAAAACCATTGACACTATAATGTTTATTACAGTCTGTGGTCTTGCTCAGATGTTAAGTGACATCTTTTGTTCAGTGACTTGAAAGAAAGCCCTTGTATGGTTCAGGCAACAGAACTGTCATGAAACTAGATGCTGAGGCTTTGAGATTGTATTACAGGTTTTACAAACTGTATTCTCACATCTCTGTTTCAAATAAACATTAATAAATTGACTAACTCAAGAGGAATTCTATGAAGATGACATACTTGCAATATGTTTTGATATAATGATATTCAAAGGTACTACACCAGTGAACAGTTTTTATTTAACACACACACACAAAAAAATATTCAGAAAGTGACACAGCTGCCACTTTCACAATGAGCAAGATTTTAGATGCTTCATACACATAGCCACTTTTCACAAGTTTCCAATTTGAAAATTAACTTTGGCCTTTCAGTTTCAGGTCAATAAAAGCTCAGTAAACTTTTAAAAGGTTTTTAGGTATCTTTTGAGCTACAGTGTTTGGTAGTATGTGTGTAACAGCTATAATATGGGGAAAATGTGTAAGAAAATAAACTAAAAATTTGAATATTTTAAAGCTCACCAGATGATTCCACCCTTCATCTAGTCACCTTTTCCCTAACACTGTCATATGGGGAATGACACTGCCAGGTTTGTAGAATAAGATAACAAATATAAACTGAAGTCATGGTTCCACTCAACTGATTTTACTAAAGGAATCTGCTACAAAAATCTGATTGCAACTGCAGGTTCTTACATCCAGATAAATGAACAAAATGCCCGATTTCATACCACTAGTAAGAACCTATGTACTTTTCCTTCCTTCCAAGTTGATTAAAAGACACTCAAAACAGAATTTGATTTGCTTCTGAACAAGACAGCTTTGAATTTTAAGCATGTTTATTAAAATGCAAAGTTGTGCATCAAGGGGATGAGGGAAGGATGCGGATAGGTATCAGAATTATTTGTCTGAGATACTGTAACTAATGATTTAGTAGAGCATGATTGTCAAATATTGGATTATATGTATTCAGTCACTTGTTTTAAAAGAATACAGCTAATGATACCCTCTGTGCATTATTATTCATGTGATTTGTACAACAAATACATGCTTTGCCTCTTTGTTTCCTTTCATTTATGTACTTAAAACAATAAAGATGCTAATTATGTTCATACATGCTGGTTGGTAGCACTGCAATTAATTTCTAGACAAAGGCAATGGAATCAAGACTAGTTCATACAACAGACCTAATCTATGTCCCCTGGAGGTCATGTGTCTGTAACTGGATCTCTTTCAAGAACATGATAAAATGTAATATTTTCCATCTATGTCCAAAAGCTACCGGATGGTACATGAATGCACTGTATGAAGAGTTTGAGGAATTTCATGATATTTTCCTGCTCATATCACAGGCTTTTGACTAGATTTATATCCTCTCACATTTGTGAAGGAGCTCCACCTGCTCACGTAAGTTCTCTCTTCAATAGGACACACTGAGTTTTATACCTATGGCCTATGAACATACAGCAGATGGGATGCTTTGAGTGCTGTCTGATTATCACTTTCCTACAACATTAGTAGCTCTCCCTTTGTTAAGTAGTTTGAGACTACAAACTGAATTCTGTGTCTCATAGAAGGCAAATAACTTTACAAATATTTGAACTTCTTATAAATCACATTTCAACATATCTTGTTTTTTGACCAAAATTCCTTAAAGATTTCTGTATCTTTTGTGCTATATGCTATCAGGTTCAGAGAATTTAATAAAATATAATCAATATAGTGACATTCATTCTATAATTTAATTAGGTAATTTTGTTTATAATGATAGTTGGCTTGATGTTTTATGACCATTGAGGCAGTGTGTGTTATTACTTTGTTGAAAGCTATTGCATCTTATAAAAGCATCAAGACAGTAATAATCATTGAGAGTTCTAATTTAGGGAGGAATAAATGAGCACATTTTGTGTTGCCCTCATATTCATTAATAGGAATTAAATGACAGGATAATCGCAGATTTTCTTTTGTTATTGCATATTCCATCCACTAGCATTCTTCCTGTGCATGTGTCTAATCCAAATAGCCCTTAGCTGAAGACTTAAAACTCAGGCTTAGTGCCGACTAGCATCTGCCATTGCCCTTTTCACCCATATTTGACAACCTTTAGATGATCCTCTCTTCAATATTCAGGACAGGTGTGAATTTAAAGCAAATATGTGTTCTGCAGTCCAAATTGGTGTTGATTTGTTCATCGCTGTCTTTAAAAGGCTGCAGAACAACAGCTGCTGTTTTATTCCTCTGCACAGAGGCCATAATTTCCAGAACCAGAAGGGTCATGGTCATTATTTCCCATGACAGGAAAATGAGAACACAATGAAGACATGAATTCACTCTACGTGTGCTATTTGGCATGAAATTTATTCATCCTTATTTGTAGAAATAAACAGGATTAAGCTTCAAAAACACATCCAAATGTTTAGTTACTAATGATGTTCTTCTAGGTAATAGCAAAAGTCCCCATGACAACAAACATGAGCAAAGATAACATGGGACATCACCTAAGAACTCATCTAGGAGCAAATACAAAGTTACTTACCATTTTGTTCTCTCTGAACACCAGCAGCAAGCAAATCTGGTTCCCCAAGACTTATGTCATTGAGCCTGGCTCCCAGACACTCCATGCAAAGATGTTTGCACCACTCCTCTGCCTCTAGTTCTGGGCAAACAGAAAAAAAAAGTTGTTCATGTTGACATTTTACCAAAGAAAGTATGAAGTTAAATCAATACCTTCCTATTGATAAGCTTTATGACAGTATGCTTGTGTTGAAACATGAGTTACTAGTGTAAAGTTCCATATGAGTTTCTTTGCCTTGATTTATGAACTTTTAAAAAGGGTTTACACCATTAGAACTGTATCTTCCATTCTCAAATATGAGTATGAGGCCAAGTTGACAAAGAAGAGGAATAATAAATTTTCAAGGCTGTATATTTCTAGTATGTTTTCTTGAAAGAAAAAGTGCAATTTAGAAAAACTTTAGATATTATAGCTGAAATATTCTTTACTGCTTTTTAGGTGAGTCTGAACTACTAAAGCACTTTCTATTTCTAAAAGTGCTAGAGCATTTTTCTGGGAGCAAAGGAAAAAGTAATAAAATGATCTTCAAATGCTAAATTTCCATCTCTGCTATGTCTGTCAAGTTAGTCTGAATAATTAATTTCTTCAACTCTGTTCAACTTCTTTTGGTCTCAGAGCAATTTGGGCATTAGTTGAAACATTTATATGAAAATTCAAAACCTCCCAGTCCTTTATAAGTCCTGCATTGCATCCCATCAATGTACATCTGAGAGCTCTGTACCTGCCAGTCTACCAAGACGTAAATTCTCCAAGGCGTAACTCCTACACACACCACAACAGCACCCCTGTTCACCTCCAGCTTCATCCTTCCACTTCCCAAACTTAATATCATGAAATCTCTGGCATTGGTCAAACAAACAACATCTCAAGTTGGTGTTAACACACTGTGAAATCACAGCTAAGAAAAATCATGCAACTACCCTGACTGTCTATTATCACAAGATAGGTTTCTCTTAGGGAAACTTTCGGGAAAGTGGGCTTGGCACCAGGCAAGCACCCTCAGCATCCATGATCCCAGTCAATCTCTATATGATCATTTTTAGGAGTGGATGACTCCAAAAGTTAGAAATGTCTGTATTAAACTGCCACAGTCTTCTAACTCCTATTTTTGGGGACATCTGGAAAATACTTTTGTGACAATCTCTCCAGTATAGTACTGCAATTTGGAGAGAGAAAAATATTGCATGCAAGCCCCAAAGCATTTAGTGATGATGACTCATTGTAATTAGTGCAAATTTATATCCAAGAAAAAACTGTTCTGTGCCTAATTGGTACAGTCATCAAATTATTGCCTGGTTAAGCATAGATCTCACATGACAGAAACATTTGCTGGACAAGAAAGGGAGATAGGCATGCAATTCCAGGTCTCCAAAAACCTTTGGATACCCTCCTTTGTTCAGGGTCTTGAATAATCCAGGAAGAGATTGTTACTGATTTATTCTGGCTATCAGCTGACTGAGTTCCCAAACAGACAGCTCAAATAATAGAGACTATTTTTGGATTTTTGATAGCCAAATGTGGTTGTTGTCAAAAGAATTTGGGGAGACTTCTTCAGAGTGTTGTGGGGGAAGCGGTTTCTCTTAACCTTTCCTGCCTTCTTTCAGTCTTTGTCTCAGGACACAGATCCCCAAAGTTGGTCTTCTCGTAACATTCTCAGCTTCTTGTTATAAGAGACAGAACATTCTGTCAGTAACATCCAGATGACATTTAACTTTGTATGTGAGAAGAAAATATTGAGGTAATAGCACACTGTTTTTTCAGCACTTCTACAGATACAGCCTCCTTAATGGAAGTAGAAGATAGGTATATCTCTGGGTAGCAATAAAAATTTATGGCTTTTAAAAGGAGCAAGATGAATTTGTTTAAAAACATTCTGTTCATGCATGAAGAAACTTCCCTTCTGTTTTCCCTTCCTCTCCTTCAGCTTCGCTGGATATTCATGGGGTCTGTTGAACCAAAGCCACGCCTTAGAAATCACACTTTCCCATGGAGAGGGTGTCATGCCAGGGAGATGACAGAACTGGACCCCAAGACATGCTGCCATATTCTGGCAGTGTGTGGAAGGGGCATGGGGGCAGCGCACCCGTACACAGGTAAGTCAAGCTGCCCCTGGGAGAGTTTCCACTGAGTTGCCTAACATCTGCTTCCAGGTACAGATAAACACAGGGCAATCACTGCAGAAAGGTGGTAGCACAAAGGTGACAGTGCAAATCTAGGTAAATGCTCCCATGTTTCCTTCCCTTCTTTTCTGCCTAAGCTGTATCACAGAACAATATATATGCTGAAAGAATGCACAGCTCTGTATAAAGCTTGTAATTTTTCCTGAAGTGTGGTCAGGACATAACATTTTATGTATTTTACAAAATGCACATTTTATTGGTTTCTTTCACTGTGCCTGCACCCAGACTGAAAGGGCATGTACTGGAAATGTAGAATGAGATGATGGTAAACAAATACTAAACTAACCTTTCAAATATTACAAATACCTAAGGAGAAAGGGAAAAATATTGGTATTTCCATAAATCCAGCCTAACATCAATATATATTCAGAACAGGACTCTTATACAAAGGCAATAAGTTCTATTTATATGTATTCTCACATCACATTTCCAGGAGATATTTTCAGAAACAAACAAACAAATGCATTGTTCTAGAAAGCTGCTTCCTGTGTGTGTCTTTGTTTCATCTCCTCAGTCTGTCTGCCTCTCTCTTTTACAGCAAAGTCTAGATCTTGAAAGTTTGGACCCAGACACTGCCTTTCAGAGTGTTTGACTCTGGCAGTTTAATTTAAGCTGCTGCTGCTTTGCTGCCAAACACCGATGATTAGGCCCAGATTAGACCATTCTCCAACTGCCATACAGAAGAAACTTATCTTAGTATGAGCATTATAAGACCATGGCTATATTTTGCAAAGTGTAGGCTGTAACATGTATTATACTGCTTTATAACTCAAAATTTCTATCTTACAAAACTGATCAACTTAATGCTACAGAAAATAGATAGTTTCAATGCAGAACTGAAATATCTTCCCACAGAACTGCAAGGATTTGTGTCTGCTGTCAGAAGAATCAACATTATCTGCAAATATGTCTATAAGGTCAAGGGTGTGAAGGTAGTGTGTGAGTTAGTTTTGCCTAGTGCAGCCTGATAGCTATTGCTTACTTTCAGGGAATTGCTTTTAACCTTTTTCTTTACAGACATGTAAAATCTTCTTCAGAAGCACATGAATTACCTTTCAAAGCCAAAGCCTTGTTTTTCCTTTCATCACATGCATCTTTAAAGCAATTCACCATTCTTTTGTAAAAGATCTATAGAATGCTTTGTTTTTCTGGATAATGAATTAAATATTACCTGTTATTAAAAAAAATTATTTACTCTATGATACATAAATGCATTGTTCATGACACCAATCTTTAAGAATGACAGATATTATGTCACAAAACAGAAATATCCCAGTTTCTTCTTTATTTTGATTATATGCATATAATCAAACGGATGAAATATTACAGTGGAACTAAGTCATAAAAAACTGTCAGCAAAATTGTTCTCTTTAATGCACTTAGATTAGATTTATTGGTGGTAATGCTGAGTTTTTAGTCATAACTGGTACTTGTCATTGAAAAATTTAGTTTCCTTTTAAAATACCTGAATTCCTGGACTGAATGATAAATTGTAAAGCATGTTTTCACAGCTATAAATAAAATCAAAATACTTGCATTTTTATTTTTATTGTTATTCTATTATAAAATGCTACTATACAAATGTCATGAGGTGAGATAAAATGCAAAGAGATGGGAGACCTTAATTAGGCACTGTCTATTGTATAAGAAACATTGCTAAGAACTGTAAACTTGTTACTCATCTTGTTATTGGCAATATTATCCTGCACTTAAACTGAGCTTCTAGGTCATGCCTGAGGTTATATGTAATTTCTGCTTCAGTTCTCAGGTGATTAAACTGGTGCTGTACCTAGTCTGATCGCTGTATTGTAAATAGGTAATCCACAGGATGATAAGTGGGTTTGTTGATACAAAAACAATGATGATATAATATTGGCTAGTGAGATATACAATAGAAAATGAAATTTTAGATTTTTCTTTTATAGAAAATGAATTTTTCATAGTGAAAGCATTTTTCTTCTACTTGCAGTTTAAAACAGTTCATTATGCACAACATACTCTACAGGGAGGAGTAGAGATACAGATATATGGACACATTTAAATTCACTGTCCTTAGAGATTCACTGTCTTTCTATTTGGGCTCTAGATCTCCAAGGCTAGAGGTGGGATGGTTTTCAGACTCCCAACTTACGAAGCATTTTGTGTATGGACTTACCGCTGAGTCCTGATAACTTCATGTCCTTGCATACTTACCTCCTGTGTTCACATGGCACAATCCTACAGGAGCTTTCCATCTCCCACTACAAGTTGCCAGAAGAGTCAAATGCCTCCAGGCTGAGATAAAGCCCCAAAGAGTTGACCCCTATTGAACCCCTGATCAGTTCAGCTTCTGTCTCCTTGAATAAGGCTATTTCCTTTTCTGCAAGGAATCTCCATTCCAGGAGATCTCTTCCATCATTATAACCAGGAATTTATTGTATTTGTAAAAAAAAATGGTTCAATTTATATGCACCTCCTAAAGATAGACCTCATCCCCTTCTCATGTAAAGTGATGTGATCAATAAGTTAAGTTGGAAATATTGTGTGTACAATATTAGAGGGTGACAACAAACACTGTCCTTGTGCGAATCAAAAAACCTCACTTTCAGCTTTGCCTGATGTCAAACTGTACAAACCTAAAATGTTAGTTTCTTCACTTCTGAAACATTTTTATGTATTTGCTGAACAAATGGTTTGACTCTTCTTCCCTTTAAACTAAATTTATAAGAGGTCCAAATCCAACTAAATATTCCTACTCTGGAAGAAACTTAGAATCTTTCCTGTACAGACTAGTAGGACTTAGACCTGACATTCCCTACCAAGAAAGAAAGATGATGCTGAAAGATGTGCCAATTTATCTCTTCTAGAAATCACCCAGGCTTAATTAGAAGTTAATAAGAAAAAATATTATAGAATTCCCAC